GCAGAGCAGCGGTGGAAGCCAAGCCGTCCTTTTTTTTATCCCTTTTTCCCATCTAATTGATTCGAATTGGCTTATTTGGAAGCTGTCATTTATTTCCCTGTGAAAATCCCATGTTTTCGTGTTTAAGCGAGTGATCGGCAGCTTTTTAGCACATCAGCTATTGACTTGCAGCCTGTAAAGCTTCCGAGGAGATTTGAGCGACTTTGTTAACGACCCAAATCGCCATTTTTAAAATGTCACGGCTTAAAAGAATCGCAGCGGGTATGAATGGAGATTTATTAAAATGAAGAAAATCAGTAATTTTAACTTTTGAAAAACAAAAAAATTAAAGAAAACTAAAAAAAAAGAAGCATAGAAACAAAGGGAGGCGATTTATAGCCTACTATTTCTGCCCTCGTTGAAATTAGGCAATATTTTTTTTTATTAAAGAATAAAATACATCTTTTTTTTTTACAATAATATGAAACTAATTTTTAATGAAAACATCGAAAGTGACTGAACACTACTTGACATCCTTTTTTGGGGAGCAGTTTCATGTTGAAAATGATCATACACCCCGGACAACTTGAAAAAAATATATTTATTTATTTATTTTTATCTAAAAGGCTTGCTTCCTCTCTAAATGTTCCTATGTTAGACAACAACTTTAAAAACCGGACTTAAAAAAAAAAACATAAACAAAATATTAGATTGACCTTTAACTTTCACACATATTAAGACATAAAGACTGTCCGACGAATTTCTACGCTGTTGGTTAATTTTGAGCGCGTTTCCGGAGACGCTAAAAACACTTTTGGGGATATGAGGCCTGTTTGGGACTCATTTATCAATGCACCGTATTAACGACAACAATAAAAAATACACGTTTGAGCAGATTGTGATTTATGATCAAGTAATAAACATTGTGTATATTATCAACTATCCATTTTTGACTAAACAAAAAGGTTTGTATCCTCACAGCTTAAGGTCGTAGATTAGAAACTATGTAACATATTTTACATTAACAAGGTGTGGTGTCTATGGGAAACAAAAGTTCACACATAAAGTAAAATGTTAAATTAGATACATGCTTCCCAAGCTAAAATTTTCACTTTAATCTATGAATTTTAAGGTAAAAAAAAACTGTTTACAGGGGGAACTGAAGTTTTAACACCAAATTGCACAGGTGTAAATGGCAGGGAGCTGTCCTTTCAGCACCACGAAGTTACATCTGAAAGATGAACCAAACTGAATACTATAAGGGCTTTCGTCTATTGTTTGATGTTTTGAAATTATATAAATTATTAAATAACAATTTTGCCAAGCACCTCCCAGGTTTAAGTAGCTTGGGACATGATAGTGGAACTTTACAATTACTTTGTAATTTACTAAACCAGATTTTGATTATGCATTAACCATCAAAATTCTCTTCACAGTTTTATACTTAAGCTTGAACAGACTTATCTGATATCTTTACGAGGTATATATTTTCTGCTTTTGTGAGAAAAGCTACTCTAAACATTTTTTTGTCTTGCTAAATACATTTTGTCCCCATTGTTTTATTTATGTAGTTATTTGTGAACTAATACAGTCATCTAGTCATCAAACATCTAAAACCACATTTTGTGTTAATTTTTTTATGTTAATCTAAAGAATTGTGTTACACCAATGCCTCCTAAACAGAGGGTCAAAGAAGAGGATATACAAAATGCAAGTTAGAGTGAGATGACCAGAAAGCAGAAGTGAATTAAGGCTGGAAGGCTGGTATGGTGCCAGATGAAAAAGAGAAAGAAAAGAAGAAGGAAGGAAAGAGGAAAAGAATATGAGAGAGCCGGGGAGAGCAGAGGAGAGAAAATCAATACCGATTCAGAGCGAGTCAGATAAGCCTGAACAATGTATAGTGCAGACACACTCTATAAACCAGTCACACACATGCAGTGTGCATGTGGAGGAACTCACGCAAGCACACGGGGAAAAAAGCGCTCAGTAAAATGTGCTCCAGTCTTCTATAAAGATGCTTTACAAAACCCATAAGGCATACCCACCTTTAAAATCAAATGACATCACAACCTTGGATTGCTGAGAGGATTCGCTGACATGAGCAGAAAGCGCTCATTAGGTGTCGATAGCTAGCTAGATGCTCTGATGCCCTTTGTCTACTGTATGATTCTCTTTGGATCTGATCTTCTAGTGCTTGAGTTGAGAGAATCCCCCATCCTGCACTGAACCAAATTCTAACGTCTGCGGCTTCATTCAGCAGTAGCAGGGCCTGCTAGCTGGTATCAAGCTTGTACTATTGATGTTTCTCAGTATGTTTTGGTTGTAAACAGCAGTTTTTGAAAACCACTTACATGCCCCACGCTGTGATGTTTGGGAAGTAGTACTGGTGTGTGTGGTCCTCGGCTGTTAACCACAGATTTTACTTTGCTTACCAAGAAGATGCTGTTGCAAGCGCTTACACCACCACTCTCATGCCTCTCTCCCCCTTCCTCTCTCTCACTCTCTCTTGCCTCCGTCTCTCTTATACTTATCAATTATTAAGGCTGGTATTGATCCTTCCACTAGCCTGCCTCTATCTGACTGTTCACACAAAGCCCAAACCTGCCAGCCCTCTCTCAATCAATGGCATCTCCTGGCTTCTGCATGGAGCTTCTGCACTTTTTCACATGTCAGTTTTGGTTTTCTCACTTCTGGATTTAAGACGGGCTGACTGAAGTTTTGTACATTCCAATTTTGGTCCATTCTGACTCCTCTGAAAAAAAAAAAACACTTGCATCAATATTTCATAGCACAAGTATATTTGATGGGCAATAAAAAGGCAGGGAAGGGATGCCTTTGTACATCGTTTGACTTAAAGAATTTATCCTCATGTGTGCCTTTTGGGTGAGTTTGGCAATTCAAACGAGCTTCCTTTCTGTCGCTGGGCTAAACAG